AAGATTACCTACACAGGAAAATCATGCAATCCTCATTTTTTCTTATAACCACCAAAAGACAAGACCTGCAAGCTCTGGTCTCCATATGAGGCTTGATACAGACAGGGATTGTTTCTTAAAAAAGAAAACAGTTTCATCAGATTGTGTCAGCAGTTTCCACTTCCCCATCACACTGTGCTGCCCCCACAGTGACTTGATCATTTTGCTCAATATTTGAACAGCATGTCAAAAGAAAATATCCCCAGAACTATTTATACTAAGAGACTCTTAAATCCAAGTACTGAATCAAGATTCTCAACACATTACTATAAATTGAGTACTAAGCAGAAAAGAAAATACAGCTGAGAATTCATGAACCCTGACAACTTTCTATTCCATATATTTCCTAGATTTTCAGCAGTATTGTGTGGTCTTAAAAGCCTACAGAAAGCTGAGTTCTTAGAATTTTATGGTTCAGCAGGGCAATTTTATGGTTCAGTAGGTTTCTGTATGCAGTAAAGGCAAAGGACCTGCTCAAGCAAGATCTACACAAGTCCCCCTGAGAACAATGTTCCAGCACAACACCAGAACACAAACGGCTATCACTGAAATACAATCACACAGTAACAGAACATCTCCAGCTGGACCTCAAAATAATCCAATTTAAATGTTCCTCTGGCTTTTCCTTCTCAAGGCTGAAAGTTTAAAACTGCAAAACATGACTAAATCTAATTCTTGTTCTTTATATAAGGAGTTCAGCTACTGAGGTACCATTTTCTATACATTGATTTTTTTCAAAAGCCTTACAAACCCACAGGTGCACAGACTCACTCGGTTACATGAAGTTCCAGAAATGGAATTATCTCAAGCAGTGCCCATTAGGTTAAATTCATCTTGGTGTATTATCCCTTCATCCCATTGCTTCTGGTGCCAAGAACTTTGGCTGAAGTCCTGCTGCTTTACAAGTGCTACATAACTGAGGTTAAACCTCCCCCAACATTCCTTTGCCCCAGGAGGAAGGAATGGCTGCAAAATTCTTTCACTGGAGCTGTCTCAGCTCTCATACCATTTCTGGCATAATAAAGACAAGAAATAAGGCAAAGCTGCTTTCTTCACTGCAAACAGACTGTCAGACTGCTGTCTGAAGGAACTGCAAATGTACCTCTCAAACCAGCAAAGCAGGAAAAAGGCAGGAGGCTCTCCTACAGCTGCAAAATTAAACAAGCAAAGAGATTACACCCAAGTGTTTTTCCAAGTGTTTGAAGCATCATCTCATTTTCAGTAACTTTTCCAAGACCTGCACTATTACAGCTACCCTGGAAATGCATCCTAAGAACCATTATACCAGCCAACAAACAGGTCTCACTTCAGACAAAAACTCCAGTGAGAACTTCCTCCTGTCATTGGTTCTGAGCTTGGTTTCTGTCCAAACAAGCCTAATTTATACCATAATTTTATGAAAGGTATTTCTTACAACAATATAAGCAAACAACAGCAAAACAAACAAACAAAACCTACCACCATAAATCAGGCTAACTAGACTTAAATATCAATTATTTTAACCTATAATTGAACCTCTAACATTTTTTATGACCTAGAGCTAAATTTTAAGTTTCCTATGTTCATGCTCAATTGTTTCCTTGTCTCATGAATTATTTCCTGCTCAAGAGTCTCAATTCCCAAACCAGTCCAAACCCAGTACATCATAAAAGGACAGCAGAAACTGAAATGAAAGCACTACTACAGTAAAACTTCACAAGCCTGACCATTCCCCTTATAGATTCCCTTCAGCAAAGAACAACCCACCCCATGCACCTCTAAAACACAGTGAAACATCTATTCCTGAAGATCTAAACCAAGGTAACGACATCAGCCTCATGCAATGCAGTTTCTGTCATCGGTCCTGTTCCCTTAGAGCTTTAAGGGGGGAAAAAGAGAAGGAAAAGGATAAAAAAGACACACTACATTATCAAATTCCCACTTCCCATGGAATCTGACTGGATAAATAAATGTTAAACAAACAAATAACACTTTCTTCAAGTGTTTAGAGGAAACAGGCTTTTCAAAGCCCTGTAGTAAGATTACCTAGACACTTGAAAAAACAAGATTTATGCAGTCAATCACAAATCAGAACTTTTCTTTCATAGCACAGCTTAAGTCCTCAAATTCCACTGCAGATTTGCATCATTAACTCAGTACCTTTTTCTGCTGCTTTCTGCAAGGCTTCTTCAATTCTTGCCAGTTCCTTTTGTTTATTATCCTGCAAGTATTTTTCTTCCTTCTCGGCATCATATTTAACACCTGTAAGTCAAGTTGGGACAGCTTTAACCCTAATTCCCAAGTCACATAAATGCATTATCAAGCAGCACAGACCATATACATCACATTGCAAAACACCTTGTTTGAGGCAAAGCCTGTTCCAGGTTTTGTTGCTGAATGCTGCTCTCAGCCTCCAAAATTGTTATTTTTGGCACAGTAAGACACAACAGGATCATGCCAACCATTCAGTATTACTTCACAGGAGAATTTATCTGTGGAAATTAAACCCCTAAGTGTGGTCTGTGGCAATATAGCACAGGTTTGTAAGTTCTACTACACATATATTTGATATTGTATAAATTTGCAAGTTTGCTCAAACATACCAGAGGTTCTGATTTCAGAGAAAACTAATCAAGTTCTCTGATCCTCTTCCCTCTCCCTAAAAACAATACTAATGGAATTACTACTTGCAACTCTTGCCAGTTAGAAGCAGACAAACTATATCATGCAACAGCCAAAGCTCTAAACCATGCCAGAAAACTGGATACAGGATAAACACATTTTAGAGGAAACTTGGCTGTTGAATTGAACTTGGAATGGATACAACCAAGGATCTCCATAAAAGCAACAGGTGCTGTTTTCTCCCACCCTTGTCTACTAACTTGTCAACATTTGTCTAGAAACTTCCCTGAGGGAACTGAATGTAGAAGTGGCAGCTCCCAGGAGCTACTTGCTATTCTATACCCATTTACAGGGTACCCTGAGAGATTCTTCTTTCCCATTATTGAACTGTTGTAAGAAGAGTTCACATACTTGCTCCAGGAACTATCAGAAGATACAAGCCTTCTAGAGTTGCAACAACTGCCTCTCCATAGAGATTCTTCCAAGGAATCTTCAGAGTAAGTTTATCTAAACAAAGCAGATAAAAATCACATCAAAACAAAAATCTACTGTGCTTAGTCCAAACAAGCCCTCAGGAACTGAAGAGGATTAGCCCTATATCCTGGTGTCCTGAATATCCTGGAAAGTAAAACATGGGGGCCTGAACATTTTATAAAGCCCTTGAAGTGATAAAACATATGCAGAGGAAACATAAGCCATAGTTTTGAGCAAAAAGTTGCAGTCTGAGTCAGAATACTTCATATCAAAACCTGAGATCGTGACTGGAGTTCAATTCACTGGGATGAACGTGATTTTCCCAGGGAAGTAGAAGAAAAAATGCAACATATATACACCTCCAACAATTGTTTCATGTGAAAAAGCAATGCTGACCACCAGAGAAAGGAAATTTTTAAAAAAACATCTAACTAAGAGTTCCTAAACCTTTGGCATATCTGTCAGTTTTGGGAATCTTACTTAAATTCCTCATAGTCCTAATCACTCCTTTAAAGAGTCATGTCTATACTAAACAGCTCCCTGGATCATTCCTGAATCCAGGAAGAACCTCTCAGACATGTTTTTCATACCAACCTGTGAAGTTACACAAACAGGGTTTGCCAGATAACATCCATGGTAGACACACTGAATTTCTGTGCTACTTTCACAACTACACTTCAGAAAGCTTCATCAAAGAAACTCAGGGGCAGGACTGACCTTAAAGCCTGTGTTAAAATTTCCATTTCAATACTTGCATCGGGACTCAAACTTACCTATCTGACCAACTTTTATTCTAAAAGGTACATCCAGTTCACTCTGTAAATAAAAAAAGATTTTAAAGATAAGCTTGTGTTTACATACAGAAATGAAAAGCTACTTCTTTGCTGGTGGAAAATCTTAAGAGGAAAACAAAAATAATCCAGACAGCAGCAGACATGCAAATTAGGGGGGAAAAAGAAAAAGTTGGATCATATCACAGTCCTTTAATCCCTTCTTTTTCAAGAAGGTGTAGGCTACTTCTCTGAAAATGGTGTAAAATACTGACCTTCCCTTAATTACTTTTGCACAGAAATCTAACACACTGCAAATGTAAAGCCACTGGAAACATCCCTTGGTTTAAGTTCCTGCATTT